CTGATTATCAGACTGTGTATTATCTCCGTACGACGATTATTATCTTCTCGATCAACAGTAATCTCTACTGTTCTTCCAAAAATAATTACCCTATTTTTATTTCGTACATGTGTGTATTATGACTTTTACATTTACATATTGTGACGTATTATTTGACAAATATTGATAATTAATTGCTACCATTTTATTTATGTCGGAAATTAAATCTTGCGGTCAGAGAAGATATAAATTTTTTAATTTCGTTGAATTGTTGGACTGCATGGATAGCATGCACAACGAAAATATAACATATTGTAATATAAGAATTGAATTGAAAATTATTTTTCAATAATTCTTTCATCAGTTTTTCTCCAGTTTACAGTGAGATTTAAATGCCTGAGGGAAGCTTTGCAAGGGAAGTCGTCTCGGGACTTAAGTCATTTACGTAAATGAAAGCTGATGTCTTCGCGTCTGTCTTACTCGCGTTTTCCGTCGCGGAACAACGATCTGAATTGCAATCGGGTGCCGGCGACGGATCTCGGTCGGGCTAATAAAGATCGATGACGCGGCTGATGGTCGTGGATCACCGATCTGAGACCATCGTCCTCCCCCTCTCCCCACCCCACGGTTAATCGGATTGATCGAATCTGAAACCGCTACCAGTCCTGTGTAGTGCAGTATTCCGTGTCGTGTCATCACAACCAGTTGTTAGCGATGACACGGCTTCTTTTTATAGACGAACGTAAACGTCATGCACGCGCACGTGCGTGCGTGCGTTGCTTCGGTGAGTCGGTTCCTGCCAGACACGTGTGCTAGTTTACATACGCGAAGCCATACGCGAAGCGTATTATACGGGGTGGCCCGAAGAGGCGGCACTTCGAGCATTCAGGACCTTTCGGCCAACCTATTATTAAAACCTCTCCCGAGATATTAATAGTTTCTGAATCACGGAGAGTTTGTAAACGAAGTCCTTTCGCGAGTTAATATTTCGGGGAAGCGAATAAATAAAGAAATTTTAATCTTCGCGTAATTTTATAATAATGAATTTCAATGTGTTTCTATTTTGCTAGAACATTTGCTAGAAAATAACAAAGGAAAGATATATATAGATGGCTCATAAGGAATTTTTAAAAAATTCAGATTACATTTTATGTTTGTTGTATACATGAATCTACATGGATGAGAATTTACATTGAAATAGTTCTGTGAGACACCTCGTATGTTTGCATTACATGCAACATTCGTTGCACACGTAACATTTGTCAAGGAGTAAATGCAACGCAAATAAACGGAAATGTCATCACGATTTTGCCAGAGGATTTGCCGATCACGAACGATCGATTTCGACCTGGTCTCTTTGTCTCTTCGCAATTTACGCTCATGATGCCAGAGGAAAAGCATGTTAATAGCACGTAATTATGTACTGTGATTTGATCGAACGATCGCGGAGATATATAAGCAAAGAACGGAATTAATCTATTCGCGGTGTTGATCTACTACGGATTACACGGGTCATTATTCCGTTCGATCAGTCAATCAAGTACTCGACAGGATTATGTAACAAAAATTAAAGACTACCGTTGAATAATATTTTACGTGAGCGTTCAATAAAATAAGTAACGACAAGGAATTTTAATTAAAGATTTGTCTCGCTTAATTAGCAGTGAGATAAAAAGGAATCTTTTTCTTGTTCTTTCCTTTGAAGGATGGATTATATATATATTTTTTAATTTGTTGCACAACGAATATAATGTACTTTGTATTGAGCAAAGACTCGACGTAAAAGGATATCAACTGAAAATAATGAGCCACTGTTGGCTGTAAATCTTAAGGAAGCAGCTCTTCCAGATATTATTTTATTTTTGTGTGATTTTGATTTTTACATTTATTTTTAAAATAAATGTTACTTTTATTTTCTTATTTGTGTATTTGTAAAAGTGAACCCATCTATTTCATCGAGATTTAGATACGTTTCGTGGAAATCACATTCGTGCTTATATGTAGATCGCATCGATCTCACTCTAACTGGATATAAAATCATCGCAAATCTCTTCCTTATTTCAATTTCACGGTTCGAGGAGCACCACTCCGAAACTTTCCGAAGTCGGTGCGTCTTTTCGGCGCGGCTGACGTCAGAAACGCAGCTTCGTTGCACATGGAAATTGATTGATGGTTAACCATTTTCCGCGGGGCTATTACATGGCAACGAAACCGCTCCTATGTGGACCGTAGATAATAATGCTAAGATAACATTGTTATCCAGGTAGCAACCGATAATCGATGTCCCGGTACGGTAACCTGCCACTCTTTTTTTTATTGAAGTAGACCATCGCGGTGCAGCGTGTCATTCAGTCGCCAGTTGCAGCCCGCGCTTGGCGAACATCGGTGATAAAGTCAATCCAGTTTATCCTGCGGTGGAAAATATCGTTACTGTGCGGTGCGGCTATCTTTCCGCGACATTTATTTTTAGATAAACGCAACAACAGAGCGTTTCAGTAATTGTAATATAAAATCATGCAACTATAATCCTGTTACATGTTACGATAACTAGAAAATAAAGAACAGATCTTTCGCTGACATTTACAAACTTTTTCAAGTTACATTATTCATTATCGTTTTTTAAGAATCCTTTTATTTTCCCTGCTATTTCCTGTTCCCTTTTTTTTTCTCTTTTCTCTAATCCCAGAAAGGTCATTCCAGAATTGTTTTCATTTATTATCAGATCCCGTTAAGCGAGTTAAAATTAATTAGAAACACGTTTACGTTCTTTAATGTTGAAAAATTATCTGTTACGGGAGCGAGGATTGAAACAAGTAAAAACCGCAGGTAACAAATGCGACAATAAAACTCGAATGACTCCCCATCAACGTTCACCGTCGCGGTCGTCGATGTTATCAATCTAGCCGCATCAGCGGAGGGTTTTTACAGAAGCGTCGGAAAACTTCCTCGGGCCACTTTAATCTTCATAACAGACGGCACGATATGACCTCGTATGACGACCACTCCCATCCTTCCTATAGCCCTCCAGCTTTCGCTCCCTTCCTTCCTCTTTTTCGTTCCCGTTCGGAGCCAAGCTCGACAAATTGATTAGATGTGCAATTTCGCGTGCCAAGTTGCCGCCCGTCCAGGAGAGTTCTCCACGAGGAATTTAGGAGCTCGCGAGGGACACGTCACGAACCGTATAACACGACCGCGTTGACTTTGACTTCTATTTTCGATACTTGTTTCCGCGTAAAATTTCATTCTCCTTTTCCTTGGAGAAACGTGCACGACGAGGCAGAAGTCATCGATTAAATGAACATCCGGCGGACATTTTGGAGCGATAATATTTCTTTTGCACACTTTTAGTTTATCGCAAATTGTAACTTGAAGGTTTATTTTAACCGGGAAAGATAAGATTCGCGTAAAATTTCAAACTCGAAGCTGACGCGACGTGAAAGTTTTAAAAGTCATGCAGAAATCGGGAATATTATAGTGCTATTTTTGATGGCTTTCCTTCTCATCTAAGCGTATATTATGAGAAGCAAAACACGCGAGATACATATAGCAATTAAAGCCTCGAGCCGGCGAGATCGACGAAATCAATGTAAAATCTGAAAACACGGAGATAAGAATAACTTAGATTTTACAATGATATGTACGGCACACTTTTTTTTCTCGTGTCTGAGCGGAATAACGCGGCAACTCGATGCATTCCGCGGGATGCTAATAAATACGAATGGTAGGAACTTAAAACTTCGACTTCGGCCTATTAGCGTATGACACTAGTAATTTCTTGCTCTAACGATCTGTTGTCGAATAATTAAATGGAGAGAGGCTCACTTTTGCGAAACATAAATCTTTGGTAATTAGAGAGGAGGAAGAGTATGTATATATTAGTAGAATGAAGATAGAGAGATGTTTTGAACTAAAGAAGCCTAATACAAGCTGCAGGAGTAATGAGAAATGTACATGCATATTTAAGAATCTATATCAAAGAACTATATCTCAAAGATTGTTTTAATGTTTATGGATTGTGAAACTTTCAACGATAACGGTGTTTAAATCAAGAAACCTATTATTCAGTGAATGTAATTAAATTAGTTTTTGCGAATTTATGAAAATTATAATACGTGAAAGCAGATCCTTGTAAAGCGAAAATCCCTTTAATAAAAGAGCGCTGAGAATTTATGGGATTAGTGGGCTATCCAAGAAGGTATCGACCTAGGAAATGAGCTTTCCGTTGCTAATTTATTTCACTAATACTTGAGCTGAAATCTTCCCAATAATTTATATCTTAAATAAATGCAGAATTCACACAATAGGAATTCTGCTAAAGAACGATTTTATTTCAAAAAAGAATCGGATTACTCGGTAAGACGCTCTGTATATAGTTCTTCAGCCTACAATCCGGCATGTCGAGAACCAACTCGAGTGGATCGTGAAGCGGCTTATCTTATTGCTGGGTGAAAGGCACGGGTGCGAATGGAAGCGAGAATGGGGTGCGAAGACACGGTCGTGATCGATAACTGATCGCCAATTATAATTTATGGTACATGCACACCGCAATAGAATTAGATCTACTTCGAATCAATAGCAAAAGTGAGGGAATGTAAATTTATATGACTTTGCAAAAAATAATCTAAAAACTGCTTTAAAATCTCATCAAACTTATTTCTCAACGATGCTTCTTCTCCAAGTGACGTCGTGCTGCTTCAAGTTGAGCAAGACTGATAAAGAGATTTTAATAATATTAAAATTATGCATGAAATCAATAAAGTATTGTTTGCTTAGGATTTTCTGAAAATTTAAAATTTTCTTTTTAAAATGTTCCATTTTAAAAACATTTTAAAAAGTGGCTCTTTAACTTTATTGACAAATGTATATCTATAATCTATTCTTATTGAAGAGAATAACGAAACAAAAAATTAATTAGAAAATTGGTTATACTACCGAGCTCGTTAAAATCGAGCTTATTAAATCGATATTTTAAACTTATATTTCCTTCTATATTTCTTATTCTTTCTTTTTTTTGTTTCAGGCCAAACAACGTGCCTCCGTAAAATGGCTTCTGTCGAAGGCATACAACAATCGAGTGCCAGAAAAACTCCGCGACCCCTATTACCGTGACCATGAGGTAAGCAAAGGTCAATACTCTGTTAACGAATTCGTGTCTCGCGTGTCAGACCTCCAAAAGTTTCGCGCAGATATACCTTATTAATATTTATAAAGTTTCACATTATGTCCGTGCGGTATATCATTGCAAATTGCAAATAATTAATTTTCAATTGAGAAATTGTAATAATCTTACAATATATACTATATTTAATAATGCATATATTTAATAATGCTGTGAAAAAATGGATTTTTCCACATAGATTGAGGAAAAAATCTATTCTCTCACAGACGCATTTTATTATTATGGCTTTTACACGCATTAATTTTCATTACGACTGCTATTGCGATCGTATGATGACTTCCTTTCGTGCGACGATATCGATAAATTTTTCCCTCGCAAAAAGTCGTCGGTTTCCCAGGCTTCGATGTTCTGAAAAACTCTGCTTTGTAGCACACGTCATTATTTCGCGACGGAGAAAACGGATCCGTCGTGAAAGGCAAAAGTATCTATATAGCCAGAGATGCTAATAATGCTTTTGCGAACACAATATCGCGCCGAACTCCGATGAGAACGAACGAAAGTCGTGTTACAAATTACGTTGCCAATAGCTTACTTATACTCCGGAAGCCTACGGAGAAAATGTAGCCGAGACTTCCACGGCTGATGTTCGGTGAAACTTCACGAAGAACTGAACTTTGTACTCCCTCCCACGAGGATAATGTCTGTCAGTAATATCTCTTTATATAAGTAAAACGTGTTCGGGCAAGCCTGAAAGAGAATCTGATTTATAGAATGCAAGCTGTTTGTTTTAACAATCAAACTATCATTTCCGACCAACTAGTAATTGCTTTTAAAACACACGCTGTCTACGATGAACAAATGATAAGATAACATGTTGTGTTAATCTCTCAACGAATCGTGTCGAGATTCCGTTGGGACCTCCTCTTTGAAGATACGGGTCGACGCGACTTAAGGGAGGCTTGAATACCCTCTTAAAAGTAAATGTCGGGACGACTTGTGTGAAAAATGCTTTCTTCTTTCGCGAAACACAGGTGTATGAGAATTACTTCAAAATACTTTCCACTAGAAATATGTTTCTTTGACAGATATACGAAAATCAGAATATTGGAACGCGGAATTTTTCACTTTTTGTTAGCTATTATTATACAAGAACTATATTTTTATATTCTTTTGTATTCTTTCTCTCCTGTTTAGTCTGACAAGAGATTACTCGTGCTTTCGCCCTGAGAAAGGTATTAGGTATTTTTGTAATGTTTGAGAAGAAGAAGCATCTTTTCTTTGAAAACCAAAGTTTTGAAAATATTTTCCGTACTTTGAGGATACGCCATCTTTACGCGAAGACTATTGCAAGTTAAATCTCTTCGTAAAAGCAGTTTTCTGCGGAAACGTGCGTGTTGGTAAAATGAGGAAGCTTAAAATATTCTCATGAAATAAAGACGAGGCAGTAGGCACTCGGGTATACGCGGACTTACACAGCTACAGTTTAAGAATCATAAATATTAAACGACTTAGAAAGGAAACTAAAGATAAACTGCACCGTAACTCCTTTTGCACAGAGATGACTAACGATCGCCGACAATATTTTTGCCTCGTATTTGTTTCTCATTCGCTTCTTTGCGCACCGACAATATAATTATATTTATTAGACGGACAGTACGCCAGGAATCCTGGCCGCTTACTATCTTTTAATTATCTCTGCTTCGCATATTTTTTTTATTGTTTGCCCGGCAACTTCGCGCAAAAACTTTTACAGATCTTCCTTTCGATATTTCGCCCACATTGCAGTCTTTCGAAGGCTGCACGAAGCGAACATTCCTCGCTTCAGCGTTGCTCTATTAATTACGATTAGTTATTTAATCTGATAGACTTTCTATGAAAATAATATTTTACAAAATGTTATTTAAATATTAACCTAGTTTTGAAGTTGTTTGATCTTAAAAATTAATTTACTTAATTTTGACTACACGTAAGCTTTAGAAGAGAAAATATTTTCCTTTTTTAAGAAGAAAATAAGATTCTATTATTTCTATTACTTACCTACTTTATATAGTATATACATATAATCGAATGTTCCGACTGACTCATCAACGCCCAAACTCTTAAACCTAGAAACATGAAATTCGGAGAGTATATTTCTTTTCATGAAGTAAGCACCCACTAAGAAGGGATTTTTAGAAATTCGATCTCTAACAGGGTGAAAAGGGGTAAAACGTGTTTTCACGGATTCCTCAATATCTCTTAGGCCCGATGAGATATCGGCTTGGTTTTTGCTTACAAAGGTTACCCCTATACAAATGCTTAAAAACATAATTCAAAATTTTGCCCTAATCAACTCCTAACTGAGCAAATCTAAATTCGGAGGTGAATTATAGAATCCTTTGCATATCGTAGCGAAGCACGGATGTATCAAGCTAGTTATCTATATTATACTTTTACTTATTTGTCTTATTCTATTATTTATGTATTTTAAGATAAATTCTTACATATGAATGTACATTATTTTATCTTATATCGATTACAAATATATGGATAAAATAGAAATACAGAATAATGATATAAGCAACATGGTTATAAATAATAAGCAGAATACGTAATATTTCAACTTACTTCATTATACGTTCTTCGTTCTTCATTCTTCGTCTTTCGTTCTCCGTTCTTGATTCTTCGTTCTTCCTTCTTCGTTTTTCATCAATTCGCCTTCTGATTTCGCTCCTGGTAGAAGTCTTCGTGGCGGATTCGAAGTATCTGATCTTCTCGGCTACCTCGGATACCAGATTGCTACTCTGATACTATTTGAAATGAAGCTCTCGCATCCTTTGGCACGATCAACCATAGCCATAAAGTCGTCGCAAAGAGACGAACAAAACGTCACTCTGAAGACAAGGTCGTTCTTCCCCTCCGTTTTCTTCGAACTCGATCATCTGTGGCACTCACTTTCACCGCGCTAGATTCTTTAGACAGAAGAAATTTTCCATATAAATTTTTTTATCTGAAATTTTAATCGTTCGAAATGCTAATCACAAAATTATTGGTGAAAAAATTACAGAATGAAAATCCTTTCGGCTCTTTCACGGTATATGCAAAAAGGCGTGTACAAAATGCCAAAATATTTTGTATATTCGTTGATTCAAACTTATCAGAACTTATTAGAACTGTTAAAAGTTTTCAAAATATCTCGAGTTTTAGAAGGATAATTTATCCACTTCTAATTAATCGCGCAATTATTCGAGCGTATGAATATAATTATTTTGGATTTGAATCATACATGATTATCTGTTATTCTAGAGATAAATTTTGACGTTTACAGGAACAAGAACACCTGAAACCGCAGATCGTTCACGCGCTTTCCAATGCGGAGCTCTACTGCCTCGCGCTGGCCAACATATACTCGGATCCTAACTATCACAATCAGAATCACTACGGGATCCTGCAAGCCCTGGCCAGGAAAGGCGTCTACGTCGCGGAGCAGAACAATACTCAGCTCACCGAAACGATCCTCATTCAAAATTCACCACTCAAGATGGTAAGCTTATCAATACATAAGTAACATGTACACAGTTGTGTTTTCTCGAGACATTTGGACACCTTTGAATATCGAGAAATGGGAACCTGAAATTGTTCTAAGAGTACAATTGATATTTATCACGATATCTTCAGAAGCTATGTAAATCCTATTATATGAAAATCTAATTACGACAGATAGCATAAAACTATTTTAATCTATGCTCGATCAATGCTTTTATCTCGTTACAGTCCGCGCATATGGCTGTGATAGAAGGCCTGATGGTCTTGTACGCGAAAGAGGTGGTGACGGGAGACCGGGTGGTCTCGGCGATACGACGGTTTGACCCTCAGGTCGAAGTGGACATGCCGTCGGATCACGAGAAGGGTCTCCTGCTCTGGATCAATCACGCGTCGCACGCGCTAATCGCCAAGATTCAGAGCGAGGAGGGTGGCGGCGACAAGACGCGGCTGCCCGAGCTACCCGCCGCCAAGGACTTTCAGTCTCTGTGCGATGGTGTCGGCTTGGCGGCCGTTGTCGCTTTCTACTGTCCCGGCGAGCTCAACTGGATGGAGATTAGGGTGTCGAAGAGACCCTCGGTGGCGGACGCGCTGCACAATCTTTCCTTGGTGCACGCGTTCTGCGTCAAATGCCTGCCCTACTCGATTTTCCACATGCAGCCAGAGGACGTCACGTACATGAGAGGGTGCGTTAGTTTAATTTAACTCGGAATCGTTGAGACTATGACAAATATTTTTACAAATTTTCTTTAATATATTGCGTTACTTTTGGAAAAGATAATTATCAGCTATTCTTTTCCTTTTGATTATCTTTGTTATAATTTTTAGATCGATGAAGCAGAACCTAGTGGTCTTTCTGGCTGACATGTACAACGTCTTGGAGATTCATCCGGCGAAATGCGTGCGCTATCCTGGTGAGGAGCGAGCGATGCAATACCTAGATGGTACGTAGACGTTTTCCGACTTGGAATGAGGTTGTTTATTAGAAGCAGATCTACGCGACAATATATGGCACTTGAGCTATTGCTACGATGGAACGAAAGGGAGAGAGGGTGGAAGAGAAAGAGAGAGGGATCGTGAAAATTGGTGGTGGATAAATGTTGATTGGTGGAGGCTGCTGTACACTGGACTTTTATATACCCGTTCTATTATTTATTTTATTATACTTTTCTCCATAAAATTCCGCTACTGTTGCAGGCAACGTACGTACGTCGAGCATTGCGTGTAATTTTATCCTAAATTGTAAATTAATTAAAGTAATTCAATATATCGCGAAATTCAAATAAATAAATCATTGATATTACGAGGAATGTTGCCTGCAATTGTAATGGTATCACGCTTTTTATATCAGTGTCAATACACACACTCGATATCCCAGCCTCTTGATCCGGATTCTCCCCCCCGAGAGCAGCGACTAATTGTATTATTTCCATTCGATACCAATTGGCCAATTTTTGCGAACGCGAGCAACAATTGAGATCGCCGCTGCAACGGGCAAAAAGATGTTGATATACCAGCCAAATTACGAACTTACTACCTCCACACGCAGCACTTAATCTACAAACTGTAATATTTCCATATATTTCTATGGCGTAACCTCTTCTTGACGCTTGACACGACAACGCTATCCTCGCCTTCTTCTTTCGTCAACTTCCGGTTGAACCACGTGATACGGCGCGGCGACGGGTGCAGCCTGCCCGCGCAATAGTCATGGCGTAGCTCATAAGAGAAGCCTGCCACAGTCTATAGCTCCGATACCTGATCTGAGAAGCAACCTCTCCGTATCCGCGCCAGGTTTCACAGGTATCCACACGTTACCACACAAAGAATCAATCCTCATTTTACTAGATGGTCGTCTACCTTTGAGATGAGAGTCGCGTTTCCGTGGACTGACATTGCCGTTTTTTTAGAGTGTCTCGAAGGGATCAACGATTTCACGGTCGTCTTTTCGCGTTATCATTCATGTAGGTGTCACTCATGTTCAATGCGACGCACACTTATCCAATTATAGACAGCGTGTATAATAAAATGTAACATTTGTGACTACGACTGTTGCTAATATCAAGCTTAATTAAGATCTATCATGCTATTAAATTCTAGAATTTAACAGCAGTATTTAGCTTTCAATCTCTTAGTATGACCAACATCGTTTCATCATACGGATATAAAAGTGTGCATTTAATGAAAATTTGTACTTTTTATATTGCTTTGAAAAAAAGTGTATTATTGAAAGCTGTATTATTAAATTAAGCTACTATGCCGCTAAAATTCTGACGCAAAATTCTTTCTGGCAAAAGAGAAAGACATTGCGGCTTACCGATAATTCTTATGTGCGTTTTATTAAAAATTAAAACACGTGATCCCGTTGAACTAATCTCTTAGTGAAATTTATGAGTTGTGAGGAGCACTGCTTGTTACTAATCACACATTGTTTGCATTTCATCCGATTACTATCGTGTGAGATCATAGAACAATATAAATATTCTCCCGGGAACAGACCTGCATGTGAATCGCACTTTTTGCGACACGATCATTGGCTGCCTGCCGCTTGCATTGGATCATTGGCTTCACATTACGTTTCTTTTGCATGAGATTTTGAGTCGTGTGCGCTGCTACCAGTCACTGTCAACGAGAAAGATGAGAACTTCGTCGTCGTTTCATTAAGGTCCACTCCATGTTTAGTTAGTACGATTACGTTGCGACGTTTGTATTCATATTGTTTATGGTGCCATTTGGTTTATGATTTAACATGTTACTGTGCTGTTTGTTTCACGTTATGTTCATTTTCAGATTTATCTGACGACTTGACGACAATAACTAGAGATTAGAAATATTAGTTTGTAGCGTGACTCGATATATATCTTTGTACGGTATTTCCTGTCTCAAAATGTGTGACGTAGGCTTTTTCGTTTAACGTTTTGATTCTTGGAATTTGCACAAGTTGAAATTCTCATGCCGTTATCGCGCGTTCCATCGACCTCCGTCGTTGCATATTCTCACATTGAGTACATTTTGCTGATAGTACAAAATAATTCACATGGGAATTTCACATTGTGCCCTTAAATAATCTGTTGCGTAAGCTTTATTTTTATAAACGTAAAGTGCAAATTTCTTATCTGTTGAGCATCTTATCGTTCCTTCTTGAATATAGTTTGAGTGATGAATAAGTCTCCTCATCTAATTAAATAAAAGTATAAACAGGCGATCGATTCATCGTTAAATTATCTTTCCAGTTACGAAGTCGACATCAAGCAGCACTGTGAAGAAATCGCAGTCTTTGCAACAAACTGCCGAGAGTCATCCGTACGATGATAGGTGCGTTATGTTCCAAAGTACATTCTAAGGCAAAGTTATACGCTTGAAAAACTATAGAATTTGCTGATAAAATTTATAAATATAGTTGGAACTTGTAGAAATTAATTTGTTGTATACACAATTAGTAAAAGTCAAGTTTACTTTCTCTTATAGGCGCGCAGGTAGTGAAGAGAGTTTCGTAGTGCATCGTGGCAAAGGCATTCCCACGTTGAGCTCCGTAGCCGATGAGAAGTCCGCGGGCAGAACTGAAGCCGCTGGTCGGCCGAGCAACTGGGAGGATCAACGACGGAGCTCTTACGCCGGGCGTCGGTCCAGGCGGAACAGCATCACGGACGATTCTCAGTTGACCATCGAAAATTTCGGCGGGTCTCAGGTACGTGGCCGCGCGGAGCGAACGTGTGTCATTTCATTCGTCGTCGCGCGCGAAGAAAAACTTGGCGCAGGAGGAGATTGTCTCGAGCGGACAAGCGGTATGATCGAGTGATTTCTTTTATCTAGGATAATTTACACAATTTTGGTAGAAATCCGGATAAAGAGCTAGGCGCGCACACCGGCAAGCGCAGCACCACCGAGCCGACGTTGCCCGCGCGATCCAGCGTCCAGGATGTGTACGGTAGCGGCGTGCAGCACATAATCGCGGACAACGGTTACAGCGGCGGCGAGGAGCCGCCGACGAGGCTACGACGGCAGGCGTCTAACAGCAGTCTGGATAACGTCGCTCTCCGGCAAATCTTACATTCCAGCGCAGAGAACGACAGCGGTGCGGACACTGGCGTCGGCGGTGGTGGTGGCGATGCTCTCACGAAGTTCGCCAGTTTCGCGAATCTGAGTAGGCAAAGCTCGGAAAAGGGGATCAATTTCACGTATACGGAACAGGATGATGCGAAATCGGCGAGCAGAAAACACGGTCAGAGTAATGGCAACGGGAACAGTGAGAAGAAAACGACATTCGCCACTCTGCCAAACACAACCACGTGGCAACAGCAGAGCAACCAGCAGTCGCAGCAGATGGAGCAACATTCTGTCGGTAAGCTATCAAAGTGAGAATAAAATTTATTTGGAAAATAAAACTTATTTCAGGCTGATTACAAAAAAATATTAGCGGCAACGCGCATCGTTACCTATATTATTAGTAAAGCCGAGTTTGCAGCATCCAAGAATATGTTATTTAATTCTATTCAATTTTGAATTACTGAAAGTGCTCTGTGATGTTAGATGAGAACGGCGGTAATACCGTAATGGCCTCGCAGCTGAATAATATACGACTGAAGCTCGAAGAGAAGCGACGGCACATAGAGAACGAGAAACGAAGGATGGAAGTTGTTATGTCGAAGCAACGGCAGAAAGTGGGAAAAGCTGCCTTTCTGCAAGCGGTCACGAAGGTAAAAATACATGGGGATTACTCCAAACTCCAAATCGTTTAGAAAGACTGCAATAATACACATTAAACATCTGCATAACATTTAAACATTATCATCATCATCATTAATTCTACGTATCAGTTCTACATCATTATTATAGTCGGGACTTCAATGGTTTATTCATCTGATAAAAGAAAAAGATACAGAATAATACGGGTGATATAATTCGGTACGAATTATAGGGAATGTTCTATCGAGACACACAACATTTAATGTCTGCTATGCTGTGTGACAGCTACTTTTCGAATCTAGGCACGGGTGTTTAGTATAGAGCAAATGGTATAAAGACTGTACTATATCTCAGAAAGTACAAAGTTTCTTTTTCTTCCGCCTTCCATTTATGTTTTTCATGTCATATATTTCTGATTGTAATTATACCGCGATTGTTTGATATTGCTTGTACATATACATATATGAGAATATCAGTTGAATTTGTAGCATTATTGGCAAAGTACGTGGATGTAAAATATATGATTGCTCAATTTCAGGCAATAATCGAAGTCTGTAACTCATCTAATTATTTTTTTATCTAGATATACATGTGTAGATCATCGTTTTGATCGCTTTGGTTGTACATAGTAGGATCTTATCTCCTCTTTGTTTGCGTCTTAAGTAATCTCGGTTGCCATGTTATTTTAACACAATTCTCTTTCTGACATTTCAGCTATACTTGATGGTAAGCGCATGCTAACGCACTAAATTTTTGCATTATTAACAGGATTGAATTTTAAACCGCCCTATTTTTAAATCACGTTTCTGTTTAAGCAGGAATTGTCAGTTGCAATCTTTTTGTGTTTTATTTATTCAAATGCAATTTTTATTTTATTGCACACTTTATTTTTTATTGAAAACGATATCAATATCTTGGAACTCGCGAGCAATTAATATTATTTAGTTATTTCAGTTGTGCATGGATAAATTCTTTTTCCTTTAACATTACATAATTAAACCGGGATGTTTCCATGAAAGTTTATTTTTCATTTCTCTCCTAATGTTCGTTTTAATTTGTTTTAGTTCCAAAGTATTGATAAAGTTATGAATGCATTGAGTTTTAAACAGTGTTCGAGAAAGGTAGATAGATTCATCATGTTTAAAGCACTGCATGCTGTTTTACGAACATGTTTTCGCCAAAAGAGAGTAATATGAGAGTTTATACGTATGAAAACATAGAAGAAAGTTTCAAGTCGAAACAGTTTAAATGTAACATACTAGTCAAAGTACTGATAGTGTGTAATTATTGTACTGTGACCCTTTTATAGCATCAATACTACAGTAATATATTATATATATAAAGTTGTATACACATTAATATTTAGAAGAGAGATATGTATATTTAATTTTAATTATATATCACGCGCGCACACACACAATTAATTTTTTTTTCTATTTATAATTCCGAGCGAGATAGCGTAAATATTGCGTGTTCGTAGTTTAAGCCAACTGTTGTTCAATTAAGTATGATTTGCGAGCCACTCTGGATGGGCTTTGGCACTTAACGCGCTTGAGTGTAACGTGACCTTTGGCCGCGGGGAGACACACTCTCGGCACCGTGGTGTTCGGGTGGTGATTTGGTGGCGGACTCTGAGTACTTAACAAGGCACGCTGGTTGGGCTGGTTGCAGGGTAAGGTTAAATCTCCTTCTTCGTCAACGTCCGGGGGGGACAGTCCGGCCGAGACAGTCGGTCCCCCCACCCCTGTAACCTCCGGGTCTTCCGGGGCGACTCCGACGAGCGTTTCCGAGGCATCCTCTGTACCCCAACAACCCCTTCAAGAAAAACCACAGAGACCCTTCTCGCTCAAGGTACGATATCAGCAAGTGTTTCACGTAGGCGAAAGAGACCCCAGTGATAACTTACCTTTAATATTTTCTAGAAGATTTATTTATATTGCGCGCTTATGTGAATGGCTTTCGAACACCGGTCACACGTTCTTTTTTCCCTTCATTCCTGCTGTGCGGATGTAGCGAAAGAGCACAGTAAGGAAAATGATTATTTCCCCTCTCTCGATGTTTAGCAATTACGAAACCAAACGGGCGTGACAATGCCCACGAAATGTACAGCCGCTTCTCTACCCTTTTAGTAAAAGTTATTTTCGATAACGGATTATTTTGCTTCTTGACGCTTCTTTTACATTGTAGAGGAAAACGAAACCTTGCCTCAAGATGACATATTGTATTTTATAGTGACGTGCAGGACCCACTCGAGCGCGTTCGTCGATACAGTGCTCCTGGCACGCATGCGATACTAAACACTCCCTGGAAAATAGTAGCACTGCATTTACTTGCATTTACAGCTACATCGGGTGACGGCTACTAAGATATAATTCGATATTTTAATACAGTTTTTCTTCTCTACTAACAGACCAAGTTTTACGTTTCTACATGTACATATATGTCTTTCTAATATCTAATTAAATGTACTACGAAAATTTAATTTAAGCTCTCGCTTCTAATTGCGCTGCTACTTACGGCTGTTACTGTTGCGGCGAGTCGGGTTAAATTCGATACCCGTAATTAGTGTGCATTAAAGCCCCGAGAACTTGGAGAAATTCGAGAAGCCTTGATATTATTCATAGTTACATAAGATATTGATCAAACAGACGGAATAAATGTTGCATGTATAGACAGTGTCACCAAGTTTCCGGACCATTAACTGGATCGAGAATCTGTCTGTGGATCGTCAATTATTACGAACGTAATAATTAACAAATTAAATCTACCATCATGTTTTATCCGTGCGTACTTCGGGTAAATATTCGGATATAGCATTATAAATAAGGAGACATTTTATACGCAGGCCCCAGTGACACACATGTTCATAGATTTGTACGTCGCCCGTTTTACTTATTTTAATTTCGTAGATTATTTTTTTCACTCGCGCAAAATATACACCACGAATAATATAATAAGCGTACACACACGCACACTTTATGTAATTATAAGAGAACCCGAGATTTATAATTATTTCATAATAAATATGATCAGTAAGCTCTACATTCAAAAACAAAAAACGCTAAACAGAATCGAGCGTTTTCCTTATACTGCAGTATTACACACAAGTACGCATTCGCAGCACCGTGATATCTTTCTGAGGCATTTCATTTCTCTGATAACGAATATAGGAAATTAGTGAGGATGTGCGGGACGTCGAGCACAAGTGGCTGGAGCACGATGGTAACGCGCCATTCATCGAGACTAGACGCACTCCGGACATCGAGAATATGGATCCCGAACAGTATCGTCAATCCATAACGCAGTTAGTACCCGCCTTTCGTGCCTGTAAAAATTACGATAGAATTACGAAGGAGTGTCGGAGTGATGCGAAACGTCGTCTGTTGCAGAATGAACACTAGTCTGAGCGAAATTCAAGCGGACATACAGCGTTTGGCGAGCCAGCAGAATCAGATTCAGCAGCAGCACCTGATGTCGCAGCACCAGAAACAGATGCAGCAACAGCTTCAGCAGCTGCAGAGCCTCAGTCAGCAGCATATGCAAGTGCGTATATATGCCGGACATACATTCCGCGGCGTCGCGCGTCATTATATTGTCAGCTGTTTCTTCTCAAACCTTTACCTTTCAGACTTACGGAATGCCACCGATGAATCCGTTAACGCCCAGACTGCAAGATCCGCAACAGTCGCAGTTCTATTTGCATGATCAGCCGCAAGTGCAGCAGAGGAGGATGTGGGGTCAGCCGGCACCCGCTCAAAGTCTGGCAAATGAAATGGCCGCGGTGGGCTATCAGCAGTCTATGGATTCGCGATTTAGTCCTCAGCCTGCAGGTACATAATATCAGATTAATTTAGAATAAATAAATGTGAAGAAGAATTATATTAGTAACCAGACTTGTAGCACAAACAGCAAACTAAAAATTAATTATTAATTTAAAAAACTCCCGCATTAATATATAAATTGATCATATTTTATAGCTGTTATTACAATATACATATAATATTGAAAATTTTTTAGAAGCTGCACGAATCTTAAAGCAAATTTTTTTCGACCGATTACTTGTGGAAAGCTTGCTTTGTAGAATTTGCTTTTACAGATTGAAAATAAACGGCTCATGATAATTTTTCTTTTTTAATTTTAATATGCTTCAGTAGATTGTTTTTGTCTTTTCTTAGCTTATCAGCAGGATATGCGCATGTATGCGGATCCCACGAGGACTTGGGCCGCGCCGCACCCGACGCAAAAGGGATTCGTTTTGCACGACACTCAGGAACCAAGGTACCTCAACGGGGATCATAGTCTGTGTAATAATCAAATGAGCCACCCCGGTCCGACCAGCGTCTTTCCAACGTCTTCGTCGCTTTTCAACCAAACACAAGCCACATCTGCTAGTCCACAGCATCGTAACGCCGTAAGTATTTTCCGTGCTTTTATCTTTGCGTCGATTTTTCTCGCGTTTTCCTTTTACGCACTTAATTAACGAAATAGATTAAAATCGGTGAGGAATTATATATTCCTACTACGGTATTATTGTCTTATCGCACTCACACTCTCTCGCCACAATCTATTTATATTTATACTAAATGGCTTTTCTGCATACAATGCACGCACGCACGTGACTGCATCAATTTATTACGAAAGACAGAAAGACGGGCGAGACTGAATGCTGCACCCACAGCGGTGATTATTGTGTGAGTGAAAAGAGTTATAGCTAAACGTTCGCGATGCGTGCGCCGATCATCAGCTCGATTTGGTCACTTCAATACGAAGGATCGGCCCCGAGCGCGTACGTATGTGCATGGGAACCAGTTGGTGATGTAATGCACGCTTATAGACGCTTGTTCTTGACACCCAACATGGCAGACACTACCCACACTGGCAGTCTTAGCGCCTAGACGTTCGCGTCCGGCTCGGATTTACACCTCTAGTCTCCTTGAAGTGATTTGTAAATTTGAATAATATGTTTTTCCTCGACTCGACCGTCGCAACTTCGCGCGATTACTTCACTAAGGTTTGCTTCGGTTGATTTTAACTTACTTTTACGCGTTTGCGTCTCACTGTTGACAGATAGCGGAAGCAAACGATCGTCAAATTATACGAGAAAATACAACGGTGCCGTGATAGTGTTTCGTAAATATTATTTCAGATCCGTGTCTCAAATACGATTTTAGTCGCTATAAGTCTTTTGTATTTAAATTTTGTATTATACACTGTGCTGCTAGATGTAACTCTCTCATATCTCTTGTCATCTATTTTTTAAGATTCTGTACAATTTGTACGTGAAAAGATATTGTTAAGATATTAAATTAATAAAATATATGTATATTTGCCTCGTTTTCTTATGTGACTATATTTTGCTCTGCTAGGTTCATCGAATAAGTCAGTTAATTAGCGAAAGTCCGGAACCTAAGAGGTCAATTGTACATCACATCCCGATCTCATGCGAGAGCCCAACGGAGAAGAGGCAAGTTACAACTTTGCATAGTCCGGTACCAGCTCCGCCCGCCGATGACATGAAGCCCCAAAATATATCTTTTATCGGTAAGCTTTGTTTGATAACTTTTTTGCGATTATATGAAAATATCATGTTTCACATATATATATTTTTATTACTATACTAAAAGAAACTATAAAAATCTCTTTTCTTAAATCACTGTTTTTTTTATTTCGAAGGCAATGACGACGACATCGCGCAGGGTATTCGCGGCTTGAACATCACATCGGGTAGTCGTACGTACAGAATACCGTCGCCAACTAGACCCACGATATCGCAGAATTCCTTCCAACCTCACCCGTCGTTGAGGGAGACGGTTTCGTCGCGTTCAGCCACTCCGGATGTCACGCCTCTCGATCCCACGGACGCGAACGAGAAAGGATTCTACATCTCCTTCGACAATGACGCTCCCAAGAAACCGAAACCGACCCTCAGAGTGAAAAGAACGTCTCCTAAAAAAGTGAGTGCGTTTTTTGTTATAAATTATTTTTTTTGTACTACTTTGTCTCTTTGTTTTATATTCGCGTGTTTCGAATCAAATTTTATAATATATAAAGTATTTCTTCAAAAGGAAACAATTGATTGTTTCTTTAGGAACGAAGCGTATCATCTTATATCGAGCACGAGGACTTTACAATGCGCCCGGAATCGCCTCCTGCTAGCGCGTTAGAAAGGCAGAAACAAATGGAAGCTCAACGAGAATTAGAGCGGGAAAGATTGCGGCAGGCCGACGACAGGGAACAGCAGAGGCAAGAAATGAGGGACAGGGAGCTCAAACGGGAAATGGAGAGGGAACGGCAGAGGGAGAAACAGCGAGACAGCAGTACAGAAGGCCGACACGCTTCCGGAGTTGGTCTGGTAATTGGGAACCAACTCACGAATCCCGATCCGGTATATATTAATCATTATTAGTAATATTGACCATTTAAACAGCAATAAATTTATACATAATTAGTCTATATTTTTAGTTTTGCTTATAAAATTTTAATATGTAAGATGTTCTAATCGAATTTTTCTACAGAATTCTATGGACGAAATGGAGAAGAAGAAGGAGAGGATAATGCTGATGTCGCTGCAAAGAAGACAGAGGCAGGAGGAAATAAAAGAAAGAAAGGAAGCTGAAACTCAAGCGCGTAGGGAGAAAGAGAAATTGAAGGCGGAGGAAAGAGCTCGCAAGAAAGAGGAGGAACGACAACGGCGAGCTACTATTTTGGAGCATCATAAAGTGAAGAAAGCGATAGAGGAAGCAGAGAGAGAAGTGAGTGATATTTTTAATGATGCCGTCAAATGAACAGAAATAAGTCTATAACATAAATATTTTCGTCTCTAGGGTAAGGTAATTGATAAGGAGCTTCTGAATGCTATAAATCCAGCAAAATTACGTAACAAGACTGCGACCGCTCGACCGCGGCCCAAAACGATTCACGGAGACGCTGGCGCCGTGTTGGATTCCGGGGCTCTTACACCTAGTCGCGGGAAGAAGGGTTCTTCTTCCAACTTAAGTACAGGTGAGGTTTCATTAAATCGAACTTGGAAAAAATGAATAATCTGTCGCAATGATCGATGCTTCTTGGAGATTAAATATATTGGCAGAAATTAAAGAAAATAAGATTTGATATATCGGTAGAATTTGAGAGAAGGAAAAAGGAGATAAAAGATATAAGTGTCTATTCACCGATTGTCTTCGAATTAATCACCAAGAAGATGGATCTTTTTACAAGTTGTTGTGTCGCAAGTGCATTTCCCCGTTATAATACTCTAATAGCAACAGTATCCTCGATGTTGTAATTTGCATATTTCCGTAATTTGCATTTATTCATTGCATGGCGAAGATTTTTACGATTAGAGCCGTTTTTTCTCTTCCGTAATCTTAGCGATGTCACTCTTGCTGTATTAATTGTTCTTTTTCTTTTTCGTTATAATTGGTTTCGTCTTTTATGAATTTTCACCCCGACCACATGCTCACGAGCTCCAGATTTTCTCGTCTATGCTAGTTTATCGCCGTGTCACAACGGCTATCGTAGATCGCTCGGCGAGCCCCGCTAATCGAGCCTGCAATCGCGAGACATCGACGCCAAACTAGAATAGTACAGAAAATACCGAGCCGATTGTTTTGCACTAACACACTTACTGTAGCGTCGCTGACCTCTCCGACGATGAGGCGAGACTACTACCGAGGCTCGCAGGATAGTCTCACTGCTGCCCACCTCGATGACCGACGTTGTTCCGGCCCTCTTTATCGGGGCGGCAGTCTCAGGGGTATGCACCACACACACTCTCTCACCGCGCTTATACAGTACACATCTGCAAGTTTTTTCTTTTTTTATTTTTAAATAAATTTTTGATACGGAAATATCTACGCAATAAGCGGTCTAATATAAAATTAATTTTTTTTACGCAGCAAAAGATATAACACTGTGAATCAATCTAAAATTGTAACAAGATATTGCAATAAGTATTGTTATATATCAAGAAGAGTGCTAATTCGAATTTAACAATGAAAATGGTATTAAATTTTCTAAAGACAAGAATCTCCTTTGCTGAAAAGTTAATTCTAAGTAAATATAACTGATGAACTAAGATATATCTATTCGCAATGTTTTTTTCACAACGACACGTTCATTTTACTGCACTTCTTTCCGTTTTTTCTTTTTTTTTTTTTCAATTTGGCATGCCGTGTATCTGTAATTCGATGTATAATGCATAGCGAGAATCACTTGATATACCTATATATTTATAAGTAGCGTAAAACCTGCAGTGAATTGTAATCGATTGTAATAGAGATATTTTCCCCGTTTTCTTTTAGTTTCTTCCGTAGATTCGCCCGACGACGGCCGAGGTTCCTCGCCCTGCCGCAGCGTGAATCAGCTCGGCCGACGCGGCTCCTACAAGACCTCCAGAGGTGGGTTCGATGTTGCACTTTACCGCGGGAATGCCGCAGGCTCTTGTACGATTGTTTGTTTTTTAAACGTTTTTTGGCTTGACGAAAGTAGACTCGTTGCAGGATGTTATCACACACTGGTATGGGCAGCTATAATCTATATCGGAAACTTACGCGATAAATGTTTTCCAACATATTTGAATAGCCTTTGATTATTCCCTACGAGCGACTGAGCAAGGTCACGACACTTTGCGGGTATGACTGTGTTCCCTGGTTTATTTTTATTATTTTTTTTAATTTTTGTCTTTAACTTTTAGTAGCGCCTTGTAGTGGACATCTTTCAGTTGGAACGCAACCGTTGTTCTGCACCAAAAACTGCACCGGCCACCTCAGTTATCGATGTACCCCTTACCAGATATGGCTCGTAGATTTTAATTCCCTCCCTTTTCTTTTTAAGATCCCTAAACCTTTCCTGCCCGCGCCCCCGCTCGCTCCCTAAATGAGATGTGCACGATTGAGGCATCTCTCCCGCAACTTATTTAATCTCTTTGATCGTACATGGCGTTTTGAGTGTAACAAGGCAAACGTTGCGTTATTGCAGATGTGCAGGAGTCTCAGCAACAAGTTAGAGGCAGGCCTAAATACCAGACTTACCAAAACTTTAAGGGGAGAAAGTCTAATTCCCTGATGAATTTGTGCGGTAAGAAGCACCACAGTGACTTGGAAATACGTTCTCGATCTCCCTTCTATATCGTGCAACAGTCTCAATGTGTCCCGTGTATATATATATTTACAATATATATATTATCACATTGTTCTCCCAAAATTTTTGTAGACAGAGTAGCACACATACACGCGCACTCACAAGCACCTACATGTACGTAGTGGCATGGTGGCAGGCTGGAGGGCACACAGGTGGCAGTGATACTTAACGACTCATACATACGCACAATGATCATATGCGTTTTTCTTTTTTTTCTTTTTATATGTTTGAGCAAAGTTCCACCCACGCGGCTTGACGACGAAAGGATGGAATCTCTTGGTTCTTTCGTGCTTTTTAAGTGACGCACGATTTGTATATGATTTTTTCGCTTCTTCGTTTCATCGGCTTCGTTGAGGCGGAACTTTGTCCTGTCATTTTCTTAGGACGACTCATTTTCGCTGTTACTGCTGCTGCTGCGTAGAGAAGGCTCGGTTGAAGGCTTATTTGGGCTTGTTGTTGTTGTACAGCACTGGGTGTGGGTACAAATTTATATTTTGTCGATCGGTGTCTTTTTCCAGATTTATTCTGTTGGTGGCTGTGTGGTGTCCATTTATAATAAACCTTCCGACCAGGTGTCCCGGTTTATCCTGTCACTTCACCCGCTCTGTATCCCTTCACTGTTTTTATTTCCAGGTATCATGGCGACGTGGTACAGAAAATTCATTGCGAACGCGATGTGTGATCTGTGTAATTACATGCTCGGTGCTGGATGAAAACTTGCTATATGTCCTGTTATTTAATGTCAGTAATTCGATCGAAGTTTCGTCGCATAGCGCAGAGCTCGCGAGTCGAATCATTGGAACTAACAAGCTGTCAGTATAAATCATCGCATTAGCGTTGATCCAGAGATTCATATATAGTTTTGATAATTAGTACGCTAGAGAACCATGACATGTACATTAGAATCATTCTAGCGCAGTCAGTTTGACAAGCTGATAGACACAAGCGCTTACAATTTTTTATCAGATTATAAAGTACATTACGAATATTCTAGAAAAAAAAAATCATAACGAGACGCAAATTACGAAGTTAAACTTCAAAGGCAAAGGAGGTGTCTCCACGCCTGTAACAAGTGACTAATACATTCTTGGCGGGGTGGCTAACCATCATTAATAATGAAACCGAAAGGTCTCTCTCTGTTCCGATTCGTTATCGCTTGGGTAACATAAGGAAAAAGATATACAGTTGTCGTTAACAAGAACGCGGTAACGCATAGACGTTCGCCTCTCCGTTGAGATTTCTATCTTCATATGCGGAGCGTGCGTTCGTAGGTGCAAGTAGTGATCAAGATTGTATGTGTCGGCATACAGATTCGGACAGCGGCCTGGGCAGATCGACACCTCCAAGACGCGCCGCCAGTCCGGGGATAGGCAGTATGAGGCACCTAACGTCACCTTCGGGCCCCGGTTCGCTACCACCCGCCCTGATGACGTCGAAGAAGAGGATCTACGACGACGGCAGCAGCGATATCAGCAGCACGCCCAGTTCTATGATGGACTACAACGGTAAGAGGCATCGACGAATGCATTTGTCCATTCGAAGGGAATACACTCGACAGTCATTATATTCTCGAAAAGAAGCTAAGAGATCAATTCACCGTTTACGTTTCCACTGTAACAGGCCCGAGACTGTATAAACTGCCGATAGCCAAGTCGAATCGTAACATAATGCTGAACGCCGTGGAGTATTGCGTCTTCCCCGGCACGGTGAACAGAGAAGCCAAATCGAGAGTCCTGGAGGAGATCAGCCGGTCCGAGAGCAAACACTTTCTCATCCTGTTTCGGGACGCCGGCTGCCAATTCCGCGCTCTCTATTCGTACTGTCCCGAGAGGGAGGAAGTAGCCAAGCTGTACGGTACTGGGCCCAAACAAGTCATCGATAATATGTTCGACAAGTTTTTTAAGTAAGCGGAATAGTTTTTTCTAAAATCCGTCGTTTTTTCTTTTCTACTCTAACACTTTGATCGATTCTATATCTCTATAAACTTATCGATGCGTTACATATTACTGATTGCCGTCTCTTCTTTCATCCCAGATACAATTCCAGCGGAAAATGCTTTTCGCAAGTTCACACGAAGCATCTGACGGTGACTATAGATGCCTTTACGATACACAACAGCCTCTGGCAAGGTAAAAAGGTGAACTTACCGAACAAGAAGGATATACCGCTCGTCATATAGTTTTACGCAAGTGGTCACACACTTAACATTACGCTACTGTGCCCTCTGTTGTTCATAGTTACTATTTTAATACAGGCCCATATTAAATTAATGCGAATACGTTGCGTTTCTTAGTCAATTTTATAAGGACAACTGATCGGTGCTGACCCCGTAAAGAAATATAATCGCCGCTTCCAATGGGGTGGAAAATACCGGGGCAACCGTTGATCACCAGAGAGAATGTTATTTGTTTTACTTTTTTTTTTTGCGTTATCCGTTTTTTCGTTGAGCGTCAGCATCAATCACTGTGTCATAAGATTACCAGTATCTACTTGTAAGAATGGTTTGTTGACAAATACATCCCTAAGACTACACATTTTTTCTTAATTTTGCGGACTAACCCTCGTCATGTAACCGCCTTGTAATCGTGTAAACCGCTGTGTTGCGACTCTCATGGATGTATGCGCGAAAGTTGATTCTTTTCCTAAATTTATTTTGCGAAACGAAGCGAGAGCAAGGGAGGGTGGCAACCGTGCAGCTTGTGTTCTCGCGCGTGCATGCGTGCGTGCGTGCGTGCGTAATTTTGCGACTCGCACAGGTCTCTTTGCAGCCTTCGCTTAGGCTAGGGGTTCTAAATTATTCAACGATTATTATCTAATGCGTTTGAAAACTTTTTAAAGAGTATATATTAAGATATGATATAACGCGAACATTGTGAGGGATCATTAATTTTTAGATGTGTCTCGTGCGCAAATCGCTGACTTCGAACTTTTTTATTTCTTTTTGGATAATAGCATGCAATGCAACCTCGCAAAAGATGTCTCTTTTTTTTTATATCAATTTCCTTTTTAATCGAAGAGAATGTTTTTTTATATACATATATATTTGCTTGTCATATTTAACCGATTGAGATACGCGTCGGCAGAACGCTCGACACGGCTCAAACGGACGGGGTTGAATTAATGATTATTGATTTCTCATACCCGCGTACGTTTCTCGCGGCTGTTGACGATTGTAACGCGTAGCGCGATTCTTGCAATGTCCCTCCTCTCACCCCCTTTTTCTCCACGGGGGGGAGAGGGGGAAGAAACCTTTGCCAACGGGGTGGCGACGGATGCGAGCGACGATAGCTCATGTTGTAAATAAATCAGTTCGTTGCGTAATTAGTTGAGCCAAGTTTAAGATCAGCCTTATGATAAATCTGGGCGTACATGCATGCGTTGAGTGCGTTTCTTTGCGGCGTTCGAACTGCGATATTATGCGTTTCAAGTCTGTATATCATAAAAAAAAAAAAAAAACGCGCATAACGTTTATGCCGAAGCGCAGTTTATGCCGAAGCGGCTGTTTTAACGCGAGCGATATGTTTCGTCGACGGATGATTAGCTAATTATGATTGTACACAGAAAGTGGATATTTGCGTAAAGTATCGTTGCCTCGCGAACAAAGTCGAAGGACCGTCGGGAAGGGGAAGCTCTGCTTTCGTTTTCCTTCCGAGTGCGCTTCAATCTTTTATCGTTTTGTAAGAGGAAGGCGGAGGATATGGGTCGTCCGAACCGCGAATTTTATCAGATGGGAACTTTTATTTCGAGCGACGCCTCGTTATATGACTTCACAAAAATTCACAAGTTCGCCAGAGACACATTCCGCCTTCCTCCGAAAAAAACACAAAGAGAAGACCACCGTATGAAGCCTTAAGTTATGAACAATGTAATTGGACTAAGTGCGTAAAGACGTTTAACGAATTGACAGCCTGACTTTTCTTCAACCGTATATCTCGCCACCGTACATTGCGTTTTTTCCCGTAGGATTTACCGGCAACACAACACACACACACAAACACATCCCGCCGTCTCTCAGCGAAACTTCAGTCAGTCCGAGCGAACAGAGAACAGACGCGGCGGTTCGCGTGCACGTGGACGCCGTAATTTATCGGAGGAACTGTTATAATTTATTGTGCCATAAATTCGACGTTCGCTTTTCGCGTGGGACTGGCATCGGCTTCCTATCTCGCTGAACGGGCCTTTTTCAGTCGGATACGTTTCTTTCATTATAATGTTGTTGGTAGAGAGGAGATGAAGCTAGGGATAGGTAGACTTCAAGTAGACATTTTATACGACAATATCGGGGGTCTATCGTTTGTACGATTAATTTTCTCCTTAGGCCCCGCGGGCCCCGTCCGCGACGACGATATCGCGGACGCCTCCAGGATCGTTCTCCGATTATTTTGTACGATAAGTCTTCGACTCGATGTCCGAGTCAATCGTGTCGAGTGTAGGTAGACCCTCAATATTCCGCGACACGGCGTAACGCAAACGTGCACAGGATTATTAACGATTACAATTACAAATACAACGCGACATATCGAAAATCCCGTGTTCTCCAGCAGCCGCAACTGCGCGGAGGAGTAATCTATGTATTTTCAATTCGCGTGGGACGTCGCGGTCACAGCCTGGCCTCACCGTCTCCGCGTTTCGCCGTTCGACCACGTGTAATGAAAGGGATTTGTGAGATAAACTCCGTCGAGATTGTGGTAACCGAGAGAAAGAGAGAGAGAGAGTTCACTGTTCTATATCCCCGTCTGTTGTAAATTTATCCGAGTACGATGATTATGCAAGAGAGAAAGAGAATGATAAGATAGAGAATCTTAGACTCAGAAACACAGTCCGACCTGACAATATCGAACGTGAGGTACGCGCCATAGAGAGAGAGAAAAAGAAAATATGAAATCTCTTTGAGATGGAGTGCAAATTGTGGTAAGTCCATGGTGACGACGTTTGAGAAGAGAGCGAAGAAAGAGAAAAAGAGATATATGATTGCAATTAATATATATATATTATACATAGTCATTAATCTTAAGAGCCAGCGAGAATAATGGCTTGTGGAAATGGGATTGATTACAAAGTTATGATGTTAAGAGAGATCTCTCGATATTGGTCGCTTATGCTTGATATTTATATTTTTTGAAGAATAGATATTATTAGTGAGCTGGTGAAAAAAAAAACAAGACTTGGATGCGACGATTAGATATGGACAAAACCGAATGGACCGAGACGGGAAACCGAGGCGTACATATACACACAATTGAACGCTGCGGCACGACGTAAAATTTGTACGCCGCAGCGAAATCGCGCTTACTAATAATAAACGAGATTATTGTTACGTAATAATTACCGATTTTTATTGTCGCAGAAATTTCTCGACGTCAAAGCGAATATCATTTCTCGAACTTCTTCTATCCGTGTCTCTGTAAATATTATGTTTTTATATACACACGTAAAACGAAAAACAAACGTATACCTACCTACTCGACGATATGTATATTTATTCAGTACGTCATGTAAGATTTGGGTCATAATTTACTGTTAGCATCTCGCAGCGAATGTCATTAATAAAATTTAATAACCCATTTGTAATAGACTTTTATTCTTCCGCGGATGGGTATATCGCGAAGGCGATCCATCGTCAATCGTACCTCAATGGAAGTCTGGGTTTTTCTCTCGACAAGAATCAATTTTTAATATAAAATATAAAATATCTTAAAGTGAAGATTCTATTCGTAAATAAGAATAAGGGTTTTTCCTTACCTCTTTCTTCGATGCCTAATTCTCCGGAACTCTTCAATTTTTCACGTTCGATAATTTGTCCTCTGAAGGAAGGACATTTATAAAATTGCATTGTGAAGTTTTATAAATGTTGCGTCTAAAGTGTCCGAGGCACTTTGTAGAGACTTTAAGAAGAGCGTTAAGGAGAATAAGTCGAAGCGACACGGCCCCATTGCGCTTTTTCTCTTGTTATATTATATATTTTATACACAACAGCGAATTCGTCATTTGTTAATTTTTCCTTGTGTATATGTAATATATTACAGTTCAACAAAAGTCGTGTGCGTGTGTTATGTATGAGAGAGACAAGATTAGATATAAATATTCTTCGAACATTATCTCTCTGTGTGCGTGATTAAAAGGACACTTCTTTTTTTTTTACAGGGCACTTGCATGTTTTCTCGAAAAATCTTTCGAATAAAAAAAAATCTACAATGTACAATACATATCGGGCTCTCCAGTAGAAGTCTAACTATATAAAAGTATAAAACATAGTCGCGTTATTCTCTATTTGCTAACTCGTCGACGCGGCGATCACGAATTCTCGAGATCTAACGTTAACGATAATAAATAATGGCTTTTAAATACTGATGTACAAATTGTTTGCGGCTTACAGCGTATAATTAAACTATATGGCAGTGGTCTCGCTATTTACGCGTAAAATGTCACCGTCTGCACGCGTTACTTGCATGCAACGAAATTGTTCGTGCCATCGTTTGTCTGCCACGGTGGGACCGACGCGTACGGTCTCCCTCTCTCCCTTTTCTTTTTCTTTTTTCTATCTTCGTGTCACGACGATTAAGCCTAACGAAACGGTCTACGGTTTAGCATCTTTTGGCTTTGTTAAGTCTTAAAGAACGCCTCGTCGCCTGCGAATATGGCACGTTAATCCCGGTGCGATTGTTGAATCCAACGCGGCTCCTCGAGCAATCTTTGGAACTAAAAGCGCTGAACGCCGAGGTAATTGTCTTCCCTCTTCACGGCCTCGCCATCATTGAACCGGGCAGGAGCTCAGGTGGATATTGTGCAGTTCAGCCATGTCCGTCCAGTCTCGCCTTTCCCCTCTTATCATCACATTCCTGATGCACCCGTTGAAGTGGTCTCGCGTTAACAGTGAGCCTTTCTGAGCGGTTGCTGAAAACAACGAAGTAGTATTGGTTAAGCTATTGTACTTTCACGTTCTTTCATTTATCATATGGAATTTACATACCAATGTGTAATATAATTTAACGCAACATTCATTTACCTGGTATACCGCCTATATACAACGGGCCGGAGAAGATAGAGCTATTGAAACGATAATTGACGTTAGTGGGCAGGCCGTATTTTTGGTCCAGCTCGTCCACCTTGAGCGCCAGTTCCTCGTCGTTGTACACGGCCTGGATCCTGTGCCATCGATTGTCGCAGATTGCATAGTGACTGGCGAATCCCTGCTCCACATACAGTGGATTGTTGTCGCCCAGATCGCCTGACATGATCACCTTACCGTTGTTGAGTTCCAGCGATAGAGAAGGCGAGCCACTGGGTGCGGTAATCGACAACAACACGCCGGACACCTCCGACGTTCTAAACTCCAATTGAAGTTCAAGCACGCCGTCCACCTCGAAGTTGTTTCCTAAAAGAATATAAAATCATTATTTTAAAGATCCAAAACGGAATAGAAAAAAAATTCATACTTTTCAATGTTTCTTGATATTAAAATAAGAATATAATCTTACTTCATATCTTTTGTATTGTTAATTAAGATGCCATTATGTTTTGCAGTAAAAAATGTCATATTGTTTTAAATTTAAAAGATAATAAAAATGATATGATTCGAATTGAAGTCGTTTATTCTGTTTAAGTTTCTCTTATGTTTTATTAGTAGTTTCATGACTTACGATAAACAGCGTAAGCTTCGCCCTGGAAATACGCTCCGCTCTCGACGCTCGGGAAGCACTGACCGACGTTGAAGGCTCTACTGGTGGAGCCTACCATGTCGTAGACGTTTCCATTGATCTTCAAGCCTCTGATACATCCCTTCAGTGTCTCCAATCTAACGACCACTTGTTCCGGGATGGGTGTTCCACTTTCCGGGAGACCACCGATATACATCATGGACGCGAGGCTGATTTTCCTCGGTACTTTGAGGACGCGTGGTGTCTGACTATCCACTAATAGGGTAAGCTTCCTTTCTTCGTGACTGATAACGACATGATGCCAATTGCCGTCGTTAAACGGTGTTTTAAATAGTATTTCCTTCTTTAGTTTGCTTTTCACCACCAAAAGAAGCTGCCCGTCCCGGATGAGCACCATCAGATAATGCTTCAATCGAAGACCCTGTAAATATAAATTTATAATAACAGCGGCTATAATGTTAATTAATTAAAAATTGAAAAAACTATATTTATGTCAAAAATTGGCGTTATAAAGACGGACAATTTTTGTAAAATGTATTTTGTTAAACTTAATGAATTTAATAAAACAAATTCAAGTCAGTGCAAATGAAATTGGCAAAATACTGATTATATAAGGCAGGTTTTTTTACCGGAGTGATGAACAGCAGTCCATTGGGGTAGTACGTCCTAAAGTCGAATTCTATCGCATATTTCTTCTCCCAGAATTTCTTGAAGTTGAGATAGAGCTGCGTGTGACTGTGCGGCTTATCGCCGAATTTCAAAGCACCCGGTTCTAGCGAGTAGTAAGGCACTTTCTGGCATCCTTCGGGCTGCGTGGACATCCCGCGAGACAGTGACGCCGATGGTGTGTAACTCGGCGTGTCTTTCCCCATACTCGGTCCGGCACGACCGATTAGAGCGTGATCGAATTCAACTGCATCGTCGAATCGAAGATTTCTAAAAAAAAAAGAGAAATTAATCATATCATACAAAGTGTCTCCGTGATGACACTACTTATAATTTTAATGCGCCGAGATTTATGGCATAGTTATCTTTCAAGTAATTACAAGCAATATTTAATTGATTTGATTTCACGACTTACAGATCGTTGAAAATCACATCTTTGATTGCACCGTACAGTGGCGTGTTAGTTGCGACCATTTTAGTATTATTGATGGGAGCCGGTAGCCCACCAAAGAAAAGTCCCCTGTTTGATTCGGGAGCCTTGATCGCGATACTACTGCGCAACCTTCCGGATGTTTGATACGCATCATCGATTCTCAGCTCTACTTCTTTTCTTTTTTTAAGGACGGTGACCGAGTGATATCTCCCGTCGTTAAAAGTGCTGTTCGACTGGAGAACCAACTCGCCCTGGCCGGCATTTAAGCGTACTTGCACTTGTCCGTTGAGAATGCACACGGAGTAATAGCTGTTTCTCTGAAGAAACAAATTCAACAAATAAATTAATTTCAATTATCTTGATGATTGTAATACGCAAATAAAGTTTATTTTTGTGAATAATATTATAATATGTCTTTTTATTACGGATTTACTTAGAATAGAAGTATTTAAGACTATTTTTTAACATTTATAATAAATTGTTTTGTGCACTTAATTTTAGTGATTCTTTTTTATAATAAAAAAAATTAAATAATATTAAATTAACAATAGCCTTACGTTTGCTGTTTCGTTGAGATTATCTTTTATTCTGTGACGTTCGAACGTGGAGAGAAGGAGCATAGCTGCATCTTGCATGGTTCTGAAGGAGAAGCTTAAAACAGACTGGATCTTCCGCAAAGTGAACGCGGAGTGTTCGAGATATCCATTCCCATAAAATCCGACTATCTTCAAGGGCTGCGACAATAAAATAAATTTATGTTTAATTTTGATGACATGCAAAATATTGTAGCTACATCTAAAGAAATTCAAATAGAATGTTCAAAAGTTAGATCTATTTTAAAGAATAAGTTAAAAGATGACGATATATGTACCTTATTACCGCAACTGGATTCTACCCCGTAATACTGTTCGGCCATTGGATCGTAACCTTCCTGTACTATGATATTTGCCATGCATCCGAGGAACGACACCTGCGAGGGTAACATCAGTTTCTCGGCGCGGAAGCTCGGCGGCAATCCGCCGATATAATACTTAGCCTGCGCCAGATCCGGAATATCCTCCTTTTTAGGCTGTGGCGTGGGCACAACGATTAGCGAATCGTCGTTATCGATGCTAAGACTGCATTTTTCGATATTATGGCGTATTTGATACTGACGGGATGCGTCCACTTTTGTCCAATTGCCGGTGTTATATTTGCGAGTCGAGGATATCTCTTTACTAACGTTCCCGCCGTAACCGACGTCGAGAATCACTTTGCCTTCTCGCAGGAAAATCATAATGTGCTGGTTCTATTAATGATAAATCATACAATAAAAATTAAACTGATTTGTATGAGTATAATAAAATAGATATTTTACTTAGGCCCAGTTTCACAAGTGTCGGTTAACTTTTAATCTTACATTAACTCTTCGTCTCTTTCTAAGGGGGGACGTTCGAAGAAGACGAAGAGTGAGTTAATCTAAGATTAAAAGTTAACTGACACTTGTGAAACTGGGCCTTAGTATTAGAATGTATATAAATGTGCATAAATTGAATTATTATTTTACATACATAGTTTCTTTGCTAAAGTGTAATAATAAAAGATTCTATTTTTAAATTTACCTTAATGTAAATTACATATATTCTTTATTTATTCTCTTTTAATATAAGCAAAGGATATAAGAAGAGATATTTCTTAATATTGAAATACGTATTGAGAAAAATTTAAATAAATTCGTACCTCTCTGTTAGTGGCCAAAAATAGCAACGCATTCTCGTCGTATGTTCGAAAACTAATTGAGACTCCAAACATATATTTATTGTATGGACCAGACGAGACTCTGTTTCTCACGGCGTAGCCTTCTCCGTTGAAACTGTAAGCTATGTCATCTCTGACATCTTCCACTCTGTAACATTAATATCATTAATAAAAGAATTTAAAAAATTTTGGACAATTAAATGTCGCATAGGTCGGTATTCATAGTCGGTTCTTATTTTAAGACCGTCTTAAGTAATGTCTTAAGATGCTAGCTAATACGGCTTTATAATTGGTTAATGACATCTTAAGATTGTACTTAAGACGGTCTTAAATATAAGAACCGACTATGAATACCGGCCACAATAGAAAACTTAAACTACGAAATAATATAACTTTTTAACGTCGAAAGAGAAATTTAATAACTTTCATGGCGAATTTACCCTTCTACGCAAGCTTTGCAAGCCTTGTCCGGTGCTGTCGTGATAAAATTCCAGAGACCAATTTGTCTTCCGTCAAGGATCACTTGATGAATGCAACCCGGAAGACCATTACCGGCAATTAGTTCCGTTGGTCGCCTCTGCGACTTAGGGATACCTCCTATCCACACTCGGTCCGTAGGTAGAACGTCGAAACGACCGTACTCGGAATTAGTCATGTTAATAACAGGGAGATACTGCCCGGACGTCGAAGACTGCTTGTGCACGCTCAGCTTGCCTGTGTGTCGCGTTCTGAGATCAAGAAATAACGATCATTTGAAAAATCAGCTTTTTTTCTCTAGTATCAATTAATGATACCATAATTCGATAAATTATTTTTTACACACCACCAAATTTCAATTGACATTTGTTCATCTATATTAATTAATTCTATTCATTCGGAATAACTACTAATTTTACATTTACGTATTATTACTTACCTCTCAGCCTCGATCCGATACCAAAACTTGTCCTTCTGAATATCGCCGCTTTCGAGGACCTCAGGATGTGTTAGTATGCCTGTACCACCACCGACGTTCCACAGGAATCGCACCTTTTTGTCAACTATTTCTAGAGCAACAAAATCGTCCTGGAAAAAGTCGAAATATCAAGATTTTACTTAAATATCAATGCATTATATAATTCTTATTTCACTTTATAAACAAACTTAATTATTTTAACTATTAAATTTTATTGTTCTAGATATATAATATTATCATAGAACGTACATTAATTCCACTAGGCAAGTAAAACAAGGAACCCTCCTTGCGCGCGGTTGGAAGCGCGAATGTTATCACGATCGACGTCGTTGATGAGGGTTGCAACGTCGCCGGTCTGTACGAACGGATACATTCCTTACCCTCCACCGATCGCAGAGAAACGCGAATCTAAAGTTGAAAAAATATATATAAACTTATATTTCAAAAATTATTTATCACAATTATTTAATCTTAATTAATCAATGCTATATCGGAAATCATAACTTAATTATTAAAAATTTTCTTATATTAAATTAAGAAATCATGATATTAAAGATATATAATAGAAGATTAACAAACAAGAAATTTTTGTTAGTTATAAAGTTATGATAAAGAAATATAAGGACAAAAATTTTTTATTTTAATTTATAAAGATCCGAGCAAGCAGACAAATAATTATTGTTTTTACCCCCTCAGCAGTATTTCGAGCCTCTGCAATCTTGTCTTTCAGATTTTGCAGTTTCGTGGCTAACGTGTCGTTCCACTTGTCGAAAACTGCTTTCCGCTTCATCGCGGCATTCGATAAACTTATTAGCTTCGCATCGGCTTTCTTAATATTGCTCAACGCTTCTGATACTAAAATACAAATATTTTTACAATAGTTTATCATTTTTACACAATATTTAATTTAATGATTAATTAATAATGGAATTTAACAATTGTCCACCAAGTATATACATTTATTTTAAACAGAATTTAAAAAGAAATATTACATTTCTCACTGGCGAGGCCAATCTTCGAGTCGCCTTCACGCTTCAATTCATGCAATTTTGGCTTCAGTCTGTCGGCGATGCCTTGTTTGTAGTAGTCGATTAATCGTTGCGTGCTTTTTACTGATTTCCTTACTTCATCGTTGTCCTCCGAGATATCCAATAGATCTTCATGCACTGTTAAACGAAAATTAATACAACAATGCTAAAAATCTTGTTTCGAGCCGCATTTCTTGGAATCAGTAATAACATGGCATGATTTGTAACATAGACTAACATTTTTTACTATTACTCTGCAACTCTCGCAATTTCACATTTATCTCATTGTCCTTTATCCCAGTGCTGTTCAATGTATCTTTCAAAACGAGCACGGCTTGCTTCTGAGCGTCCAACACGGTATTCGCATTCTTGACTAGTTTGCCGTGCTCCTTTGCCGTTTCCCACTGTTGCGATGACTTAGCCAACACTTCCTTGGTATCGTCCAACAGCGATTTCTGTCCCGAAGGAGGGAAAACCTTGAAAAAGCATCTACATTACATTTATAGCCGATTCTCAAAATTATAAAACCGTATTAATATGATTATATAAAAACATAAGATCAGAATTTAGAAAAATCAATAAAAAGCTAACAATTATTTTAAATATAGTTGATATTTTTTAGTTAAATTCCTTTATTCTCGAATACTTGTTAAAATATTTTATCTGAAGCTTATTTCAATTAATTTCATTTCTTATAAAAATGGTTTTTTTTCTGTGTAAATTTATATGACAGTGCGCGCTTATACCTAAATTATGGAAAAAATTATGGTTAAATTTTGTAAACATCTAAAACATTTAATGCCTGATAATTTGAGATTAGAAAAGTTCATTATTTATGTAAAAAATGGAAAAGGAATGATAGCTTTTTGACATATTGGCTTCAATTTTTAATAAGGAGAACAATTAAAATGCTAAGGCTCCAAGTTCAAAGAGAATCGCATGATCGTTTTTTACCTTCTTATGCACGTCCTCGACGGATTCCTTGGCTGCTAGTGCGGTGACTCTCGCTGCTTGCAGGCCATCGACGATGTTCTTGTAGGCCTGGCTTGCTTTCAGAGGACTGGCCGCAATATCTCGTGTCTCGGCGAACAGACTGTTCCACAAAAATGTTATCACATTATCGAGTCATCGACGATTATATCGCTGTCGGTCAGATAACATCACCGGTTTTGGATTTAATGGGATGTAATTATCGATTGAATTAATTATGCTAACAGGATATGCTCACCTGACATACTGATCGACGTAGCTGGACAAATTCTTCGCATGTTGCACTGCTGGTACCACGTACTTCTCGGGGTACTCGTAATTTAGTCGGTACAGGAGTTCCTCCTTCATGCTCAGTTTCTCCGTCCAGTATGTTAATTTATCTCGTAAGTCTGGGAGATCCTGAAAGAGTCACATTTAAGTTTTTAAAATATTAACACACTAACAGAGAGACAATAATAATATTCAGAATTATTTATTATACGTTACTTCTTTCTTCACCGTTATTGATTTGTTTTCTGTTATAAGTTGTTAAAAAAAATATATCTCTACTTGAATATTGTTTCCCGCGTCGACAAGTAGACCGTGAGCCTCGTCGATGAGTTTCTGTCCCTCGGTGATCGTTTGGTTTGTTTCGTCGCGCAGTATCCCGATACGGACGCATTGGTTCTTGGTCTCGACGAATGTCCCATTGATACGGTTGTACAAACTATCGTAGCTGAATAGCGTTTCCATGGTGTTTTCTATGACCGTTCTCATATCATCCAACTTTATCTCGAAATCTTTAGCGTCGTCCTGGGCGGATGCCAAAGGCTCAGTCGCGTCATGAAGAGAATTTAGCCATGCCACATATTCGGTAACACCGCTAATTAATTCAAAACATATTGTTCATTAATAAATTATTTTAAAAATTAACGTTTCTCTCTCTCTCTCTTCTAGTTAATTTATTAAAATTATTTATTAAATTAAAACAATACTCACTCAAGGAAGTTTTCCACTTCCGTAGTTCTTTTGGCTATATCGACGGACTTTAAATAATTCAGGATTGTCTTCGCAGTTTTTAAGGCTTTCTTGATTTCAATTTTCCTATTGTCATTGCTATAATGATTGAGTTCCGAAATTGTATCTGAAGTTTGAGAGAAAAGATTACTCTAAAAGTATTTACACACTGCAGCGCAATGATGTTAACAATAATTAAGACAAATTTAAATCATAAGTAAAAGTTGATACATACCTCCTATGTCTTTTCTCAAATTATCGAGCGTAACCTTTGCGGTAAAAACATTATTTCTCAAGTCGCCACTTTTGGTCTTCAACGTACCAACATGTTTTGCATGCTTGTTCAACTGTAAAGTAGAATAAAACGTCAAAAATATTCTAAAGTTTACTATAGACGATTTATATAATTTGTCGGATTTTAGAATAAAATTCTATAATTTTATATAGAATTTGCCATACAATTTAATACATGTATGCGTATTTTGTTACATGCATGCATCTGATTCTTTAAATATGTTTTATTCATACGGCACATAAAATTATAAATTTTAGAATTCTATTCTATTCTAAATTCCGACGCGAATTATAAAATAAAAATAAAAGATTTAAAAAAAATTGTACAATTTGTCACATAATATTCCTTAAATAACGATTGCGCTATTATTATCTAACAGTATTAAAGTGACATACATTTCTTAACATAGTTTCAACATCTTCCGCAAGCTTCTTGTATTCATGCCACGGTACATTTCTCATTCTTTGCTGCAGTTGTGTTCGCAGCTCCAATTCCTCGAGATATGCAGTCACGTTGGAATCGATATCTGACAGTGCTTCCCAGGGGGGTGGAATGTATCCGCCTGCTATGTGACCCGTTCCCTCGGCCAGGTTCTCGGACAGCATCGCGACAGTGTCGAGCAGAATTCCCGTGCAATTGTCATCGCAAGCTAAACATCGCAACGTAATGTAAACGAATTTGTGTGGTGATGTTATTGTGCAAAGATTAGTAAAACAGAATGACAAATTCTAACTTTCTAGATACTCATACAGATTAATTTTAAGACAAAATCGTTCGGCTTGTGAATAAACTTACAAGTGCAAACGTTGTTTATATAAACGTGTCGATACGCCGTGCACTGGGAGCAATCCCTGCCCGTAGAACCGGGCCTGCATTTGCACTGTCCTGTCTCGCCGTCGCAGGCGTCGCTCAAACTTCCTGCCAAGTTGCAGTTGCACGGAACGCACTTGCCGTCCGGAAGGCCAGGAGAGCCGTAATAGCCATAGGCGCAGTGTTCGCATTTTCTACCGATGTAGCCTGCGGCAAGATAGAGGTAAATGCATGGAAAAAATAAGAAGTACAAAGCCCACTTTACGGACGATTTATAATTCGCGTCAGAATTCAGAATAAAATTCCATTTATACGTAATACGAAAAAATTTTGAAAAATCAGTATACATACATAGATGAAACATATTAAAATAGATTTTTAAATAATTATCTTTAAACATATAAAATTATAAATAAAATTCTATGTGATGTAAATTATAGATTGTGTAAAGTAAACTTAAGAAGAATCAGACATGTTAAGAATTGCATAAAATTTTAAACATAAGCTTTTTTATAAATAAGTCAGTATGTAATTTTTTTGATTTCTTAACGGTTAATTTTTAAAAATATTTATAACGGAGTTCAAAATTTTGTAACGGGTTCTAATGGAAGACTCGATGGCTGCATAGCAATTATCAAAAAAGACTGTTGAAAATATTAAAAATTGAATTTTATGTTTAATAAAATCGCAAGATTTTCGATGATTTAAGTAAGACTTAAATATATACTTTATCTAATTAAACAAATGTTCTAATCAATTTTTTGTAATTTTCTCAATATATGCAATTTTTCACGTTCTTGTCTATTTACCTGGCTTGCAGTGACAAATGGGTTCGTTGTCCGTACGAACCACGCAGGTACTCGAAAATCTCTTATCAACTTGCGGGCATGGACATGGCTTGCAGCCTCCAAACTCCGGATGACCGTAGAAACTGTCAGCGCAAACGTTGCAATGTGCACCAACCGTGTTTTCTTTGCAATTCTATAACGTTAAATTTTAATATTATATTAATAATTATTCAAACATTAATACTTTATACACGTTATATAGAGATCCGTACTACTTATTTCTTTTTACACGAATTAAAAACCACCCACGACATTAAATAATCTATATATTTATTTCTTCCAAATTTTATTAATACAAAAACATCGGAAAAATATTAAAATCGGAGGGGGGGGGAATCAATTTACAGAAATAATTTGTATGAATAGCAAATGCAGATAATCGAAAAAAAAGGATGTAAATCCGTAAATATCATACAGATTCGAAGGCTCCTTAGTAAGAAATTTATCTTGTATCAACTCTAGCTCATATCCTTATACACTTGTCTCTCAGCACACTTCCTGTCGCGCTATCATCTTTGCGAATAGTGTACACTCGTAGGAAAATGTTTAAGTAATGCTTACCAAGCAATATCCCGTCTCCCTGTCGCACAGCTCGGATCTCCCGTTGCACTGGCAGCGCCTGGCTTGTCCGACAAGATCGATCACGATGGTAGACGTGGCAGTGGTGTTCTTGTACCACCTGTAAAAACCGATGCTGGGATCCTGGCAAGACGTGCCGTTGTATTCCGCCGGGCACTGGCAGATCTCCACTCCAGTCGCCAGCGGTGGCGAGTGCGTAGGCATCAGGACGGCGGCGTCGAGAGAAGCTTCCAGCAATCTGAGCAGCACACGGATTAATAAAGTACCATTAGAAATTCATATTAAAAAAAAAAACGTAATAGAAATAACAGATAAAATAATTTTTGTTTCTAAATTTGCTTGTCAAAAATAAAACATGGAAAGAAACATTAAAAAATAAATGTATAACAATTTATTTTACTGTCTATAATGTAGTTACGCACGTAGTTTTCGTGAATTCGGCGTTGTCGGAGGCTTTCACGAGGATGTACTGCAGGTTTTGTAACGCGACCATTAGGACCTCTCTGGAGACTTTGTAATCCGGTCTGTTTTGTAGCTGCCACAACGACTCGTGGAATCTAAGATAACAGATACATGTCAGTCATATAGCGTAAGGTTTGAACAGTGTTAATAAATCTTTTAAAAAATTCCATAATATGATAAAATCTAATTAAATAGATTATTCATTAAATTCTAATACAATGAATTATGCATTAAAGTGTTTAATTCACATTTAATTTACATCGAATCACGTGCTCTTTTTCCTCTTTTCAATTAACTGATTATATACCTGACTTCGTAATGATTATCGTTCACTGGTAGATGCAGATAATACTCCAGGACAATCTTATTGTTTCCTTGCAACTGCACCACAGGATATCGAAGATTCGATCTCAGAGGTATCCCACCTTCCGTCGAGGTTTTAAAGCGCAGGAATCCTCCGTAAGAAACGACCTTAAAGGATTTAATGCGAGTCTCTGATGTTTCATGCGGTTCAATCACAAGCGAATTGTACGTACACAAAATTTGATTTAAAAACGAGACGAAATGCATCTCAACTTATTTGTATTTAACGCAGAATGTGTTCGAAACATCTTCGAAAAATTACCTTATCGCCTAGAAAGGAATCCGGCAGTCTCCAATATAAAGGATAACTGTAATAAAGATTTGTGGGCAACGTAACATCGCCATTGGATCCGGGTATTACGGAGAGGCCGTTTGTCACGTTCAATCCGCCGTTCACCGCTGGCAATACAGTCGTGGAGCCGAAGTTTGTTATCTGTTTAATCGTACGATAATATCAGACGACGATACGACGTATAAAATATTGTTTGATAAAACTCATTCGTCAAAATTTAACAGCCGAAACGGATCTTACTATTACATCGTTGACCGTGTCATTGATATAAAGAACGCGGGGCCGAGTCAATCTACGTTGACCCCAACTGAGTCCGGCCTGCTGACAAAGAGTGCTCCTTCCGAAGCAGAAGCACTCGGTGCATCCTCTGACATTGTTCATCGCAAGGCCGAAAGTGCCTTCCTTGCACTGATTGCACTTTCGTCCGATGACCAGTTCCTTGAAAATGATTGTTCAATCAGTGCCTTTCTCCAGCGTTACGTCGGAAGCAAATACATACATTTTTTTTCAAGCAAGTTCAGGATTAATTTCAGACTAAAAAACTCACAGGGAGATAACTAAAATAATCCCATTTTACAATTTTGAGTTGGAAAATTCGTTTCGCATTCTACAAAGTTTACATACATACGAGCCAATTCCTAAACTGTTTACTTTGTTTCTTCAGCATCGATTTTTATTCGATACTTTTTTCTCCATTGCGTAGAAGTAAATCTATTTACACTGTTAAATATTACAGAATAAAATTCAAACCAATACCTTGAGTTAAATAACGTTTTGTTATTTTTAACTACCATGTGTCACAATTTATTATTAAAAAACTATTATTTGAACTTTATTAGTTTAATTAAATTAACAACATATTGAGTAGAAACAATAATGAATGGTTAAAAATTCCTTAAGTATAATTTGACACTGCGAATTTAACAGGGTAAATTTTCTACCTAAACTTTCGCTCCTCCTCGTCTCTCTCACCTTGCACGGGCACTGTCCCTTGTCGTCGCACTCGCAGACGCCGTCCCGGCAGTGCGTCGTGCCGGCCAAGCTGCAGCCGCAAGGACGGCATCTCGGATAGCCGTAGTAACCTTTGGCGCATCTCTCGCACCTGAGCCCGTCGTAGCCGATCCTGCAGGGGCACTGACCCTGATGGTCGCATTGGGACCGCGTGGCGCCCAGGGTGCAAGCGCACGGCTTGCAGCCGACGCTCGGCACCAGGTCCCACGCACCCGGTCGGCACCGGTCGCAGTGCTCGCCATAGGTCAAGCGGGGACACACGCAGCGACCGGTGTCGGGGTCGCACACGTGACCGGGTCGCGTACACGAGTCGCACACTGTGGAGCAATCGTAGGATGTCACATCCGTTCGCCGGTTTATCTCGCCGAGACTTTATATAGAGGTAGCAAAGGACGCGAGCAAAGTCTACTTGGGTGTTTTATAATTTCTTTTTCCCTCTTGTGAAGTTTACAGTCGAGAATTTCGCGCTGATAGTTTATCAGTTACAGAAAAAAAGACAGGCGAGCTTTGTCGCGTATTAATTCCTCAGGATCGCGCGAGCAAAGCTTGTGAAGAAAGTCTTTATTCTACAAGTCTCTTATATTCATCGTTCTGTTCAAGATAGAAATATCATTTGCAAAACTTATAGTACGACAAAGAAATTTGCGAGGGGTTTGATTTTGGCTAAGAAACACCACGCTAGGAAAACGATCTGACTCACGTTGACAGCCGTTCAAAGAGAAGCCATAGTATCCGGACTGACAACTGTTGCAGCGCGCACCACCCACACCCGGCTTGCAGTAGCATACTCCTGTATCACTGTGGCAGGATGCGTTGCGGGATCCCATGGAATCGCAGTCGCAAGATGTGCAGCCGGCTCCCGATGCGAATCCCCAATAACCGACCTAATTTGTCATGTTAAATCCGACAATTAGAAATGTCCACCGAGTCGCAAAGACAAACGTCAGATGTGCGAGAGCAGTCGCAAGATTAATCGATATTGTCTTGAAGCTTGCATTAATAGAATAATAAATAAAAAAGAAGAATAAATATTTAAGAATATTAAAAAATTGTGACTTGTCTAGATTAGACTCTGCTGGCGTCAGTCTCTTAGCAAGCTCTTAGTCTTACATTATCGTATTAATTGTCGGCATTGTCGCGAAAGATCTGTCGAGTGACTTTGATCGCCGGACTTCGACGGACAATACGATTTATCATGTCTGACTATGTCCGGCGGTTACCACTTCTATATTACAGATCACTGGATATTTCCCGATATCTGATACAGTCGCATTACGAAACAGAGCATTTGTCTTCGCTGTTAGATGTCTATCGAGATAATGTACCTCAACGTTACAGATCACCGATCGTGAGTTTATCTTAATCATCGCGTTTGATATCGCTCGATCAATTTCATTTTCTTTTTGACTTTTGGTTCTTCTAATATTACTTTCTATTGTTACCAATAGTTTTTTACTTAAATAGTTTTACTTAAATATACAAATTTAATCTAATTTACAAAACTGAAAATTTACGGTATTGTAGAACATCCAGTCTTACATTGCATTCGTTGCACTGCCTGCCAATAACGTGTGACTTGCACTGACACTGTCCGGACACGATGTCACAGGCAGAATTCGTGGAACCCAAATTGTTGCAGCCACACCCTGCAATCAGATAAAATATTGTGAGTAAAAAATAATAATTAATTCCCTTCGTAATTCATTTATTTGAAATATAACTATATATCAATATATAAAGTTATCAATAAATAAAATCTCGCCAAAATAAATTGAGATACAAACTCTTAATCTTTGTTGAAAATTATTATTTGGAGATTGAAAATAAATAACATTATATTTAAATTATTATTTCTATTTAAACCTCAAAATTTGTAAGTAGTAATAATTGCTATCGTTCTATATTTGTTCATGATAATAATAAATTTCTCGATGCAAAGTGATGCCCAAGGAAGCTACAATTTCCGTGTCGGCGAGAGGCGTAATTAAACGATCATCAAGACAAGCGTCGGCAAGTGTCGACAGCGGTCTCATTAATAATTCATATAAGATTATTCTTGCTTTCGCGCTAATTGCGCACTGACGAAACATTTGTACCGTTTCTAATCGATTAGTGCGGCGCGAATTCTTTCGGGGCCGGCTCGCGCGAAAAATTCGCGGCGCGACCGCGGCGATCGTAGCTGTATATATACGCGTTCGCCGATTTTGTCCGGCGTGGTCACGCGTGAGCGGCTTGTTTATGCAGCATCGAGCGGATTTTGCAATTAGCGATGCCCGTCGCTGCGAGCGCACCGCATTGTATTCAAATGCCGCAGACGACGGGGCTGTCGTTCTCGCGCGACTGTCGCCCTGGTAATGCCGCGGAAATTATAAATTATGCATGGTCGCATCGAGCATCGCCGGCTGAAAGCGTATCGATTTCCTATTAACGGTGGGCCCTTACAAAGGGATTACCCGCGAGAATTGATTCGGCGACGGCAATCGGCGTGTTTACACACCGCTGCGATTCGTTCGTACGATCGTCGAGACATTCATGCGTGATTATCATGAATAATAGAAGACGATGATAGCGCGTATCTGTGGAGAACATGATTGAAATAAAACCGATTACATTCGTATATATTTTTGTTCCTTGAGGAATACAGGTGATCCTCGAATACTTGAATTGCGCGGAGTCTCGAGTGGCACAGTGAAAAATTGTGACGACTCTACTTTTTAGAAGTTTTGTTTTAAATAAATAAAGTAAATGAATAATCACGCTCATATGTATCAAATACTGTAAATGATAAAGGGCTAATAAACGAGCATCGATAGTTGTTAGAAAATTAACTTCGTGTATTAATATTACCCTTTTTATATTTTATATTAATACACACAGTTAATTATTTAATAACTGTCAGTATATACTTATAGTATTTTTAAAAATAATCCCTTGGAACCAAACGTCCAATTTTATATGGATCCTGGAAGTCTCGAATTGCACGGTTTTCAATAGCACGGAACGTGATATCCAAAATTGATGTAGGTATAAATTCTCGAATAACACGGATTTCAATAACGCAGAATCAATTAATAGTGTTATTTGAAGGTTATCTGTACATTCTTTTTAAAGAATAAATTTCCAAATGTAACTGCAAACTTTAATCCACGCATTTTCAACCAAGGACTGTATCAATTCTGTTGTAAACCATTAGACAACGTACGACACAAATATACTCGAAAGAGAGATGAATAATTCCTTTCGCGGTGTTTCTCCACCGCGTATCAATTCCGATCGATCATGTCACGCGAGGCATTACCCTCCCATGATTATGTGCATAATTACTCTTACATCATCGAGTAACAATCGTGTTACACGGGAAATTACATTACAGCCGGTACGGCCTCGTAAATTAATATCGCATTGTAGAGTCCGATTGAATCGGAAGTTATTAACTGCTGAATAGTAAGCGAGATGAATTATTCGCTCGACTGTCCAGGGAATAAAATTTTATTTAAATTTTATATTACAATTTTTATCTTGTCGCGTCATTTGTATAAGTTTTCCGTCATTTGACAGCGGACGTAAAAAGTGCCGCAATAATCGTATTAAAAAATGTAAGGCTTACGAGAACATTGACCCATAAAGGACGTGACATACCGGAGGCTGGGCAACCGCCGACGACGTCGTAAGAAAGCACGCACGTGCAAACGCATTTTACGCACTGTAATAATTTTAATAGCGTACGGTACCTCGCCGGCTCACCTGGCCGAGAGTTGAATAATTAGCCGAGCGTTTCAGCAATTCCGAAAATTAATTAACGACGGGGTAATCAGGAAGACGGGCGAGCTGAAACGTCCGTGGTGGCATACCACGCTGCATACTGTAAATCTCGCGTTACTGCCGTCTTATCAATTAACCCTTACGAGACGAAGGAGATGCCACGGCTCTCTAGTTGATGTCCAAGGATGTACAAGGTGCAAGCAGGAATGCTCATAATGTAATATATCAGCGCTATCGTTAAACGCTAAAGATATCCTATAATTAAGATCCAGCTGACTCCGCTATAATTGTTCTTTTATAACTCTATAATCTTTTATAATTATTTGTGCAACAAACATGTATAACATAAAAAGATCTTATATATTTGTTCATCCATATGCACAGCCGCATGCAACAAAAACTAGAGTCTTCTGCATTTAGTCGTGCAAATCGGTGAAAAGTTAAATCAGCTGTTACACGACACGGTTAGCTGGGATACAGCTATATCCGACGTGAAAATTTTCGCGTCCCCAGGTGCGAAGACACGGCGTGAACGAGGTGACAGCACCGTAATTATCGTGCGCGTCTCGTCGCGTATTAGTTTAACGAGCGGCGACGTTATTATGCGCGGAATTATCAGCTAACGTTCCCGATTTTCGCCGCAAACGGGGTGCGATTTGAATAATTATCGTGCCGCGCGCCCGCGTGTGTTTGTGCGTAGACGCGGATTTATGCTGTCTAATAATGCGCTAAGTGTTTTCCGCGAACGCGCAGTCGAGAGCTGTCACACTTGACACGTGTTAATTTCGCGCGACTGAGTTATATTACGCGCGTGTCGTCGTAGATTTTCGCACGGCACGCTACCCGTTAGAAAAATAACGCTAATGGCATTAACGGGCTTGAGTCGGACACAATTATATTATTCAAGTCGCTTAGCGTGTCACTTATTTAGAATTTAGTAGCGGTATTTATATTTTAACCCCAAACCCTTTACAATGATATATTTTCAAATGTTCCCACGAAAAATGGAGCTCATGCTCCCATTGATGATAGTTGAGTGATTGACCTACCCGGTTGTACACTTAGCAGTAGGTACTCAGTTTACTTAATTTTTTATACTATGTTGAAATTGAAATTTTAACAATATAAGCATTTTATTCTCTTTTCTAAGCCTTGAACAACATTGAAAATAATTTTCATAACTAAATATCAAAAAATCAATGAGTAAGGAGACATTTTTCATGTCTTTTAGACCCCATGTGTCATTTACGAGCTTCTTGAGAGGGGTGGCATTTAAGGGTTAAGGATACTCCTCGCGCGCGATAAATATATTTTATCATCATATTTATACAATAAATGATTGTATAATGTACAAAGTTTGTCTTCTTCAACGTTAACTCTTATTCCACTTCTTCATCGTACACTGTTAAATTCATAGTGTCAAATTATACTTAACTTGAGTAATTTTTAACCAATTCATATAGGTCAGTATTGCTTCTACTCAATATGTCGTTAATTTAACTAAACCAATGGAGTTCGAATAACACTGTTTTGCGTTAAAATAATAAATTTTAACACACACATAATAGTTAAAAATGTTATTTAATAAATTCAAGGTAATGCTTTGAATTTCATCGTTCAATATTTAACAGTATAAGGAATCCGCGCTTTTTTCCCTTTTGCCAAGGCGCTTTTCAAGATTTACGCGATGTGTGGGAAGCAAGTGAAATTTTCGCTTAATAATGGAAACAAATTCACGCTGGCAAAGGATTAAAGGCTCGTTAGCGCAAATATATAGTGGCGGCGTGACGCATGATTAATTCAGGCAGCCGTAAACGCGCGAGCGGCGGCTATCGCGCGCATAAATAATGATCCCGCGTCTCTCTAATCCCGCCGGGCATTCAGAGCCGCGTTTGCGGGCGAATAAATATCCGTTCTCGTTGCGCACAAAAGATCGGCGAGATCGGCCGGCGGAGGCGATCGCTAATCGTGACAAATACGCGTCGTTCCTTAACGCCGCCGAGTCGCAATAAGGTTTATTAATTGTAACGAACCGATTCGAGACTTAATGTCGGCCTCGCACCGCATACGCAAAATGATTTAAGAATGAAATCACTGCTCCAGCGAGTTAGCCGGAGTGGATTTATCCGATTATTAAGGCAGACACGTTCGTGCAATTAGACAGGCGTATACGTATATGGGACTCGCGATACAAATGACGCACTAACGTGATTAACGTGATGCATTAGCGGTGATATTAACAATCAAACAGATTTATGATTCCAATAACGACAACCAAATAAAGCTTTACCTCCAATTTATTAAAAGTAATTCATAATTTCGATAGAAACAAATTTTTAAGGAATGTAATTTTATGCAACCTCGCGTAAGAGGTTTAATTAAAATCAGAACAAGATGTTATATGAACAAACTGTCATCATTTCTATTTAAAAACTTGTATATAGCTTATTTTTTAAGAATACACTGTTAAATTCGTAGTGTCAAATAATATTAAATATTTGAGTAATTTTTAACTATTCCTGTAGATCGCCATTGTTCCTGTTCAATATGTCGTTAATTTTACTAAAACAATGTTAACCCTTAAATGCTACACCTCTCTGGTCTAAAAGACCCCAGCATGAAAAATGTCTCCTTACTCATTGATTTTTTTATCTTTAGTTACAAAATTTTTTTTCAATGTTGTTCAGGACTTAGAAAAGAGAATAAAATGCTTATATTGTTAAAATTTCAATTTCAACATAGTATAAAAAATTAAGTAAACTGAGTACTGCTAAGTGTACAAACGGGTAGATCAATCACTCAACTATCATCAATGGGAGCATGAGCTTCATTTTTGGCAAGAACATTTGAAAATATATCATTGTAAAGGGGCTGGGGTCCGCTG